AAGCCACAAATAAACAAACGAAGTGTTTGATCGTTTAAATAGCTGCTCGCCAGATTTTATTGCATTATAAAGAAAAGTAATTGATATTCGATTTTTGATTAATAATTGATTTATGTGGATAGTGGCATTTATGTGGATAGTGGCATAGAATTTAGCATTGCGTCATGGTAAATGTTATTCCTACTAAGTGGAAGTAGTTGTGCTTTTTTTATATTATACCCAATTGTACTTTGAAATTGATTCCAGAATTCTATCCAAACACACGGATCTCCATAATATTTTTCTATCGATAGTTTAGGAAGCTTAACATTATTGTTTATTTTCCGATTCAAAACTTCTGTGGCTATAGTATTGTTGGAATGTTCTTGTGCCTGAATTCAATTTACCCTATCATAATTATTAGCAGTTGCATTACGAAGAAAGGATTTTATCTTAGAAGAAAGTTTCGAATTCCGTAAAATAATTTTCTGACCATATTCCATTGCAGATTCAATTTCTGCGTCGAAATCATTTTCATCTACAATTAGAGACTGTATAGTTTATTATCTAAATCATTTATTTGTTTTAATCTACTAGTCAAAAAATCTAAGTGTTGTTCTAGTTCAGTATTTATTTCATCAAATTCTTGTTCTAGTTTGTTAATATATTTTGTTATGCTAGAACGCAAAACGCCTCTAATTTTTCTTTGCTTCGTTAATTTTTCCATATTTTAAAAATTCTTATCAACACTATAATCAAATTTATAATTTGTATGATGCTTCAATATTTAGTAAATATGTAAACAAATACTGCATCACTCAATCAAAACAAAACAACTAACAAATACTTTAAATTTGAAGCATCAAATTATCTAAATCTTCATATAGATCAAATTATCAAATCTTCCTATCTTTCTTTTCTTTACACTTCCTGATCAATCCGAAATCGAAACAATCTATAACAACAAGAATGTTGCCTCCCGGCGGAATGCACCAAAATTTTAACGGTGGCTCATCTATAAAATCTAATTCAAATCAATTTTATTAAGAAGTGATCAAAATAATTCTAAAAATTCTATTAAGAGTCATCAAACAATTCTAATTCAACAGTCAAATCTAAGAATATTTAAAGTATTTAATAAAAGAAAAGAAAGTGTTTACAATTTTAAAGCTCAACAGCTACATGAAATTCTAAAAATCGACTAACTATTAAAAATTCAGTTCTTTTTTGTTTTGAGCAGTGCGCTTTATTACTTCTACGTTCAACCAGAGTGAGAAAGAGAAAAAATGTTACTTGACGGGAGCAACTCTTTTATATGACGCAATATAAAGCCCAGATTCTTGCTTCTTATACGAACATAGATTTATAAACATAGAAAACATTGGAGAGAGATTCAATGTAATTATATGAAAATCATACAAATTATTCTACAATAGGTTCAAATCCAATATCTTTGTTATCTTCATAGTTCTAAAATTTCTTTCTTTTTGTTTTTAAGAATAAAAATGATTTTAAAGCTAATAATCATTCACTAATATCATAACTTTTAAAGATCTATTGTCTATTATTACATCTATTAACAACATATATTATTATTATCCCGATTATAAATTTATTTAAAGTTTATCTTTATAAATTGAATTCATAACAATAGTCTGTAATACAACCTAACTAGAATTTTGCCTAAGACAAATTTTAAAAGTCTTGTGCGGATCTATTTATCTATCATTGCATATACTATCACTAACTATTAATATTGTACTTCTATTATAAATTTATTTAAATTTTTTTATCTGTAAAAATAGACTTCATAACAATAGTCTGTCATATAACCTGACTAAAATTTTGGCCGGAGCAAATTTTAGAAGACTTGTAAAGATCTATTATATATCATTGCATATATTATCAACATATATTATTATCATCCCGATTATAAATTTATTCAAATTGTTTATCTTTAAAAATAGAGTTCATAACGATAGTCTTTAATACAACTTGAATAAAATTTGGCCGAAACAAGGTTTAGAAGACTTGTAAAAATTTATTACCAATTATTACATATATTATTATTAATTACCTCGATTACAAATTTATTTAAATTTTTTATCTGTAAAAATAGAGTTCGTAATAATAGTCTATTATATAACCTGACTAAAATTTTGGCTGATACAAATTTTAGAAGACTTATAAAAAACTATTACCAATTATTACATACATTATTATTAACTCGATTACAAATTTTTTTAAATTGTTTATTTATAAAAATAGAGTTCGAGTCACTAATCAATCGAGACATGCAACTTAAATAGAATTTCGGCCGAGACAAATGTTAGAAGACTTGTAAAGATCTAGTACCTACTATTATATCTATTCTCGTCATCTTCAATATCCTCGTATTATTTTCCTCTTTTATCTGTTTTTATTTTCTGGGATGCACCGGAACAAGAAGAGTTTATAATAATGCCATTTAACGTAGTAACTGGAAGATTTAAATTGATTATATTTGAACCCTTGTTAATTGAGAATAGCTGTCATCAGCATTTAAAATTTTTACTTTATCCTCAATAGATAATGCTTTACGTTTAATGCCTTTCATTACAGGACATTTTCAACAAAAGTAAAAAAAAAATTTCTGCGATAGTTAAAATAAAATCAAAATGAACCTTCACACTAAGAAAATTCCCAATGAAATGCTCCTAAATGTTTAGATGTATCTTTCACGTCAGTCATTGAATGCGTGGGGACAGCAGTGTAGTGCATGAGTCATTAGGCTTTCCACTTAAGATGGACACAATGACCAAGCTATTTCCCACATCCTTATCAGTTTCATTGTTCATCTAAGGGTTTGAATTTCTTTGCTCACACCTGTTTCTGATAAGTCACCTTTTCTGTGGAGACAGGAAGGTCAGTGGTCTTTGTTAATTTTGCATAGTTTACTTAACTGGTTTTGTGACAGAAAGTTAAAGCTAGATAAAACATTTGAAATATGTAATAAAAAAAAATGAAAGCCAGTTAAAACTTTTTATACAGGAAAAAAACTTCTTATAAAGGTAAATTTAACATTATGATATTTGGTTTTTTTAAGAAATAACTTCTTACACGGGAAAACCTTTTAAACGGGTTCCACTATATATATATATATATATATATATCATAAAATT